GAGGTCGTTGAGGATAAATAATTCCTCAATTCTATCTACAATAGAGTCGTTTCTCTAACGCCCACACTTAATTAGCGGGAAACGCTAGTAATTTACTGAGCAAATCATAATTGTAACTGTACACACCCCATTCCTCGGCTTCCGAAAGGGTTTGGATTAAAGGCCGCCCATTAAAATTAGCTGGTATTGTTTTGAGGTTTTCTCCGTATTCAATTTTCTGTTTATGAAATTCATTAATCCCCTGCATTCAAGAAACGGATAGATTTCATGTTATTAGCGAACTGTTTCTTTTGCGATAAAAGGAGTAAAAGAGAAGGCTTAGGGGGTTTGTTAAATGCCTTTCATCGGTTTTAATTACTTTTGCCTGCTTTGTTTAGAATTATCGCGTAATAATCCGAACTTAAGAAATATTCACTTATTATGTATATACCTAAATCACAGTTTACACTCATAAGTTTTTTACTAAATTGATGATTATGACAACAGAATTTAATTCAGTATAGTATAGTAAATTTATTTTTTTAAGTCACCTTAAAATCAAACATAAATGAATCCCTCGTATGACTTTCAAACCGTTCGATTTGGTAACAAAATACATTTCAACTTCCATTATAAGGGCTTTCATTAGACTTCATAAATGAATTATGAATGTCTGATAAGTCCCCCCAACAATCACTGTAATACGATGAACCATATTCCAGTTCTCGGGGTCTATGTTTCAAAGCAAAGCGACTTAATATAATTTCTGCACGTAGAAACATCAGATAGTTACATCAGATTGCGATTGTACCAGAAGCCATTAGGCATATTTAAATGGATTAATTCTGTACCAAAAATTGCAAAAAATTGCAAGACAAACAATATTTTTGTAATGTAAAGTAAATTCAGTATTGGAATCCTGTATTGGATTTCAGTTTATAAAAAATAGTACAATTTTATAGCAAGTTATATCAGTAATTTTATTGTCAGTTAAAATCAGGAATTAATTGGATCCTGTTGTAATGTAATTATAAAAATACTAAAACTTTTTCTGCATGACGTTCGGTTCATCAGGGTGGGTCGAAACTTCCAATTTCCCAAATGTTAAATGCGAAAGTTAGCAGAGTTGAAATTATGAATTTCTCGGCATTCGTAAGATGTTTAAACACAACTCCGTTCTCCTAATTGATAGAAATTAGGAAAGCACTTTCCTTTGAACTGTGACGGTACGGAAAGACCGGGAAAGTGAAAAGGATCGAGTTTATACCGAAAGCGCAATTCGAGCTTATTATTCTTGTTCCGCCGCGAAATAGCTTCTTAATTTCGAAAAACTTGTTAACCGCAATTTAAATTTGTGTGAAATTTCATTCGGATCTCTTTGGCCCGATGTTCTCTTTACTTTTGGCGCTCTTAGTGCACCTTTGAAGATGAAATGGAAGAGATTATTAAAAGATAACTTTATTAGTTACATCAATTACGGCGTTTTTGTTTGCTATGTATACGCGCAGCATTTTCGCGTTTCAAATATTTTATCCCATCAATTTTCCTATTAACAAATAAATGATTGAATATTTTTGGTAAATTTGTTATAAATTGAAAAAAAAATACTTTCCACTTATCTAAATTAGTAGCATTTTTACATAGATAACTGACTCTAATAAGTAGTTAATAGACTCTTTTCGTATAGATACTCCAGTTACTTGGATTTACTAGGACTTCCAGTTACCTAGATAACTGATAGAAATTAATGAACTGTTTAAAAACTCATTGGTATCAAAGATACGTATTTTTGAAAGAACGACAAACATTCGCAATCTAAATTGCTTGTCGGAAAGTCACCCTTTTTTGCTGTAATTTCTAAAGAACGATTTTTGAAATTAACCATTCCAGGTGTAAACTGACTTTTATTCCAATGACAAGTTATGATGGATCTGCGAAGAATTTTCGCATCGGTGACCGTTTTCGATGCTAATGTATATACGTTGTTTAAATATTGTAATTGTTGCTTTTTCGTCACCCCAATATAATCTTCCGAATTTGAACGTGTCGCAGAGAACTGAGCGTTGGCTTTAGACTTTGATTGATTGGTCCTTTTTTTTTCAGTTCGTCTTCGATTACGCTCAGTCGTTTTTAAACCGCTCTAGTCTGCACCCCTCAATACATAAGATGAATTTACATATTTATGCGCCTTTCATACATATTATACGTAATGGTTGACGTTGATCAATCAGAGCTTTATTTTTATATTAAAATCGCATTTGGGATATTCTAATAATTCTTGAACGTAATAAAAATGCAAATTAATGATTGTTTCGTCTAATTCGATACTTGCGTTTTTAGGCCTAAGGAAACGTATAAATTACTGTAGTAATTTTTCTACATAAGTTGTAATTAAGTCGCATTTAACCTTTTTATGCAGAGAGCGCTCTAAAAGCGCGATAGCGCGATAAAAGAGTCAAATTCGATTTAACTCTCAAAATTAGTGCTACTCATGCATACTGACTCCAATTTTGGAAAATATTTCTTGTCTAATTCAATATCTACATACATATTTTGAAATTTAATGTATTGTGGTTAATAATAGTAGGTACGTAGTATCTATAGCAAATAAGTTAATTATATTTTTGATTAATTAGTGAATGATTTTAATGAGACTATAAATGTACACAGAAATAGTAAAATCACAAATTATATATGGGAATGTAAATGTGGAAAGCCACAAAAGTAACCGACCAATTGTTATTAAATCCGATCGCGGAGATTTATGTTGGTTAATTTTTTAAAAAACGGATCCCGGTCTATAACACATATTTTAGGGCAGATGTTGCCAAAAATTACGTCTCGGAGGGTTGTAAAAAATAATATTTCGGATTGGGGGCGAGATTACCTTACGGAAAAACGAAACTAAATTAAAAGTTGATGCCCCACAACTTTTTCGAACTATGTAAATTAAAAGTTATGGGATGTTTTTGCCCACCTTTTATCTCTTGCGTTTGGTAAGGAGAAGCGCATGCATTCATTTCAAAATATTAAATCTCGGAGTTAGACGTTTCGTTCACCAATGTCTGCGCCTTTTCGGCCCGTGATATTGCTGATATTAAAAGTCAAATAACACACCGGTATTTGGTATTTTAATAAATCAGGAAACCAGGACCGGACTCGAGATGTTTGCTCAATGTAACGGCGTATACCTAACTGTCTATTTTTATTTTTATTGTATTCAAATATTCCAGCAAACCTACCAATTTTTTAAATGATCTAATTTTAATTTCTTTTTTTGAAAGGCTAATGAACTTGGTACTTAATTATGATTTATATGATTTATGACACATTGTAGGAAATTTTATAGCTTTTTTCTCATCTACATCTCAATTTAGCCTTCTTCAGTGATACAATATTACATTTTAATTGGCATATTAAGATTCTAATCACAGTATCAAAAAAAGTGTATAACAAATTAAAGTTTATTATTTAACATTGTGTTCGGGTTCTTAATCTTCAAAGTAATCTTAAATAACAGACTGAGCGGGCCATAAACTACCATAGATTCATTTCCCTAGTTCTGCTCTCAAATAATAATTACAAATTCTTCAGAATAAATTAGACAAATTAGACGTTTGCTTTGCTATCATAAAATCATCGAATTTTTTAACAGGAAACACTCGTATTACACCATCTATTAGCACAAACCAAAATATTTCGCTTATCAACGGAACTAATTACTTAGCACTATAATAAGCCATTATAACATACTTTGCTATGCTTATTGTATAAATAAACTCAATTACGTTTAGATAGGTACTTGTTTTCGAATTCTCCGTAGATACCAACAACGAAGCAAACGATACTATAGGTATACATGATGATGATAATAATAATAATTCAATGCGTTATGTTTTGAGCAACGTTCTGAGCCAGCTCGATTATCTGAAGGCTATCAGTTAATGTTCGAAAAGAGCGAAGAGAAGAAAAATGTACGGCGTGTTGGTTTATATAAGACTCTAAAAACTTATCGATTGCAGACAATAAAGCACTGGTCGTGACATAAATGGGTAAAAGAAGAGTGCACGGCCTTAATCTAAGCACAGTGTGGTTTTCTATTATGTTGTCAGAATGATACAAACGGCTTCAATAACCGGCTAAAGCTCGGGGAGAGCGAGCTACCGGACAGCTGATAAACAATAGGGCCCTCTGGCGATGAGCAACAACAACGTTTGGGTCTTGATTCATTGCGATATCACATCGCAATACAGAGTTCGGATGGTTATTTTGTGAAACCGTTAAAATAGGTTATTTTCGGCTTCACTTAATCTGGAAATGTATCGTTTATTTAAAGAAAGTTAGGGAGGTGTGTACATCCAAAAAATACTTTAAATAAGGAAATTTTTCATTCGAAAAATTTAGGCGTTTAATAACGCCTACACCCCAAACAGTTCTTTTATGTTAGCCACACACATCTCTTTTTGTCTACCTAACAAAAAGCGCGCTCCTATCTCTTCTCCACGCAATATTTCATAGTCCGCTTTTTTATTTTCCGGCTAGAATATTGTTACGAATTTTTGTATGTCAAGAATGATAAGTTGCTACAGAATCATGCTATCTTCCTGACGTATAGATGCAATTTTTTTTCGGTAAAACGCGTGTGAACATCTCGGAATGATGATAGTTTATCCGGCAGTTAGAGGCATATGTATAATATATCAGTTGGTAATGTATTGAACCATGCGTTTTGGAGCTTGCCAATTAAATATTCAATAATTGAAAAAAAATGTGTTAAGCAAATATAACTTCTAAAAATGATTTTGGTAATATTTAAACATTTTTTAAATTAAACAGTTATTATATTAGCGCTTATTATAAGATCATCAGGTCCATTACCCCCCGAGGCTCCATAGATTAAGTTATAGTAGAGTAGTCAAAAATTTCTGTTTTAAAATTTGACCTGAAGTATTTATTTTAATTTAGAATTTAAACAATTTTGACCTTGTTTTTTACAACAGTAATTCTCTACTATTTTGCAGTTCCAGGCCCGGTCGTCCCCCCAAGAGAGCGCCCGTTGGACTCAGCCTGGCCGCCACGCATCTGCAGCACCAGCAACTTAAAAAACAGCGGATGGACAATGGGGATTATCCATACGAAAACGGACACATGGGTGGTAAGTACCTAATTATTATCGATCGTTATCTCGGTCAGATGTTTCATGGAAACGCGCGCCTGCTATAATACTCGTAGAAATGCGAGAAATTATTAATACGAACGCCACCTTCGCATAGAAATGGCGTGAATATTCTAGGATTATTATCTCCTGGTAGCAGTCGACGCCGAAAATAAAAAAGGAATTGAAAATCCGGAGATAAAATAAATTGAATTTTTCTGCACACGACGGGCACTTTGTATAACAACTATCGTGAATAAAGGCAATTAAATAATATAAGAAGTCGAATCGACGTTCACTTTAGCATTCATTTGGAGCGCGAAATAGCACATTTCGCCGTGATATCATCTATAACTGACATGTGAGCAATGAGAATCGCAGGTTCGGACTGAGTCGCCTTCTTTATTTTATATCAGGCACGTATTGCAATTATTCTGTCATGCAAATCCACACATTTAAAAAAATTCTTACAGCAATTTTAAATGATTTAATTATCGCAACTCTTGATTAATCTAGTCCATTTCAAAAGACATTTGATTGTCAATTAAGCCGTGATGATAGCCCAATCCGTATCGAAATCATGAAGTAGATTTTTTAAACATTTCGTAACAGTATAGAGTAGGGATGAGTAAGGGCGTGAGTAAAAATTTAGATCCGTTCCTGTGCTTTCGAGTACAGTGGAAGCGGAAGTACTTACCTGTTATTTTTTGATAAAGCAGCCAGCGCGCGGTAGCCTCGAGTAATTCTAAAATATTTCTTATTTATATTTAGTTCTTAATTTAAACCGTGCACGTAAAAAACGGTTATCAGCACGAATTGCATGTTTCGTAATAAGAAATGAAGAAAATCGGCCTTTTTAAATCAATAATATATAAGGAATTTTTAAAATAATAAACGACCGAATGACCATTGGCTTTTATTTTATTCCATTTTATGAGCCGCTCTTGCACGCAACACGTTTATTGAGAAACGCTGTTGCGGTATTGTAATAATAAGGATGTTTGAATTAATTTCGGGTCTCAAAATGCGAATATTCCATCAGAAAGGCATCAATATTTAATTACAAAATTTTACTCTACCCATAAATTGATCTTAAATTAATATTTACCTCATACATGCTACAAGTTTTGCAAAGTTTTTGCTTGGCTATTTATTGTGGATTGATTACAAAAACAACATTGCATTACGTTCAATTTAAAATTAAAACAAATTCCTTATATTATTATTCAACAATATCATTATTGTGAATAAAACATGCTCGTAAACATCTCGTTTAATACGGAGCAATTCATTTTTGTGCGTTCCATTTTAATAAGTCCTTTACAAACAAGATAATAAACAAATGAATAATAACCTATCGGATTTCATATGCGCCACAAGTCATAAATAACACTTTGGTTACTTTTTTAATGAACTGACCACACCTTTCCAGTAAATTAAATAGGCTGTCCAAATATTACACTTTGTTTCGTTCTGGCCCTTACCTCTTGGATTTATTATTGTTTCTCACTACATTAGTTATGCCTATACAGAAGAATAGAAGTACAATTGATTTATAAAAATTAGATAGTTGTAATATGTTATTCCAAAAGTGTAGGTTATGGTAACTTAAATATTTCAAATGTATTACATTTTTCAAAATATATGTGGCTTTTTTTAACGATTTCCCATACTGACGAGGTTTTGCGAATGAACTGTATAAAATAACCAATAACTCTGGATATCTTAAATTCTCAACCTATGTTTTAATCGAAACCCGCCCATTTACAACCTTCTTTTTTATGAATAAAAAGAATTAAGCTTTTAACGATACTTTTTGGGCTTATCAAAAAGTTTATTATTCCAGATCCGTAATACAAATGAACAGCCGAAATTGTAAATTTTATGTCTTTTCCAAGAACCAATCATATTTGTTGCGAATTTTACTACCGTTTACGATATAATAAATAAAAGAGATGCGACATAACGACGATAGAGAAAATATTATGTGAAGATATAAAACAGTTGAAATTGTTGGACAGGACCGGAACGAGGAATTTCGTATTTTTTTAATTACAACCTTTAAATTTTTGCTGTTGATTAATTGGAAAATTTGAAACCGACCGAGGATGTGGGAATAAATGCAAAATATGTCTTTGATATACCTACCGAACTGAGTTATAATCGAAACCGTTTTGTTTGGCAATATCCGCAGCGCCATCGCATACCGATAGAACCGAAAAGTATTTCCAAAATCCGGCATTAATTGTATCCACAAAGGGCATAACGAGCGTATAACGAGGTAATATTCAAACGAAACGCCGTTCGCATCGAAAGCATACATATACCTATAGACACAAAGATTGCCGGCATTGTCCCCAATATTAATATATTCCAAAAATGCGATTCGGTCCAGTACAAATTCCACAATCTCGCCTTAATTATCAATTGTAATACAACAAAAGCTTTTAATAACTCACATACCTGCTTGGAAACATTCTCGCTTACTTTACGAACAAGGCAAAACGACTGGTTAGAACGGAGAGAGAATGACCGGCCAGCGCCAGCGCCAGCATTCAATTTCAATCCGACGAAATTGAACATGAAAAATGGCAATTAAAATACTTAACTCGACAGGCGGATTAAACAAACGTGTGCGTTCGGTTAATTTGTTTTATTGCTTTAATGAAAAATTTTTAGGGGGAAATATTCGCCGAAATGCGAAGGTACATTTGCGAATACGTAAAATCTCCTCGGAGGTCCCGGTTGATTTTAAAAATGAACACAAAAAAACGGTTCATTTGAAATAGAAGTAACCCATATGAAATTTAATATTTACTGGTAGAGTAAAGGAAGCGTAAGGAATTCATCAACTCGCGAGGACACGTCGGTAATTCGCAATTTTTTTTTAATATTATTTTATTGACGGATGGTCGAACAAAACCTATTATGGCTTCGTATTGTCCGTATGCCGTTGATTGCAATCGCTGCGTAAGAGGTCTTTTGCCACACGTAAAGTGTTGACAGGTCTGGATTTAGAAGGAAATTATTGTCTTTTAAACACGAGAACTAGTGTAATTTAACTTACCTTAAGCCAAACCACAGTACAATAATTTTAGTAACTTTTTCTAGGAAAGAAAATGTATTTGAATTGAACCTCTACTTTAATGAGTAAAATTCAAAATCGAAAACGACTAATTCCTGATGCACTTAAATATCCTTTCGATTTTTTTTTCAGAAATTTATCACATTAATAAGAAATATTGAAGCGCAATCATTCAGTGTCCAATTCGGCCAGCTGTTAATGGGACTTAGGGAGAAATATTAACTCTACAACGGTCATCAATCATTACCCTTGTCATACAGATTGACCCAAAGATGAACGCGTTTCTATATATTTTAATCTAGTTCGCATTTGTTGAACGCTATTATAATTTAGATTGCGATCGGTAGATAAAATTCGAGTAATGTTTAGAACTTTTTACATCATACGTTTTGATCAGTTACGTCAAAAATCATATGAATTTTTTATATTACATTTAGAGCTCATTAGGGGATTTTTTTAAATTTTAAACACAATAGCGTACCACAGAAAATTGGGTAATACTTAAGTGATTTAAAATATTTTGAAATCCGGTCCTGTTATTAAAAATATCCGCGTTATATGGCCCTTATTATACGAGGATAATGCGAAGTGGCATCCATTCTAATCCATCGCGAAACGGATGCAGTTGCCGAAAGATTGCAAAAACTTATTGGTCATTACTCGCTTCATAAAACTCCAATAATAATTATTACCTATTAACGAAATTTTTCGCATATGACGTTTTTTATACGCGCACGGTAAATAATGAGAACCTAGAATTTTTAACGTGCACCGTTTTCATGGTCGTTTCGCTGGCTATATAACTAAGTACCATACCGAAGAGTAATTGAAATTTTCGCCAATTGTGCTTTAAATTGCTATTTATGTCCGTACCTTCTACAGGAGGAACTGAGTTGGAGTAGCTATGCAGGGACGTCTTTTAAAATATATCAAAACTGTGAAATATTCTTACAATATTCCTAAAAAATAATTCAACGAAATAAATAAACATGTGGCAAAAATGAAATCTCTACGTCTCTGTTCAAAGTACCTGTAGTAGTGAGTTTGACGTAAGAGCCCACCCGTATATACTCGAAAAATTGCATCCCCTCGAAATGAAATCCGATATCATACTTCTCTTGCATTTCGCTCTGTTTACTTTTCATATTCCACTGAACAATGCCAATAGTCGACCAGGCGAACAGTCGACATTAGCGCTGTGGGGTAAAAAGTGATAAAGCAGCATTACAAAGGAAATGAAATATCGCATTTACCTACCAATATCTCAGCTTTAATTTATTCCATAATTTTATAATCGCAATTGATTTTATTAAAGAAACTGCAACTCCTTTAATTAGCATTCTACTTTTGTTCATTTTCCTCGCCGAAGACTCAACGAACTATTAAACCCGCATGCAAAGCAAAAAACAAAGAAAACTCCACGAGCAAAAAATATGGTATAATATCGTTTTGGTCAGTGTGGTTTTATTCTATAAAGAAGAAAAGTTGAGTGACAACCCGAACAGACATTCACCAGACAGACAGAGAAACTCTCGCGCCGGTAACAATCTCTCGTGAATAAAATCACAAAAGGCAGCCACACATAGACGTAGCGGGCTTTTTTTTAAGTGTGACAACCCGCAATTAGAATGTTTGAGCATTAGCTGCATTCTATTCATCGACCCGAAAGGGCGGGGTACTAAATGAAAATGCAACGTGATCTCGGCGCGTATACATCGATTCTTTTTCTTCATTTCACGTTCGACTAATGTTAAGGAGATTTAAAAGCGTTTAATTAATATTAATCTACCGAAATTGCTTGTACGCCGCAACGACCAACATCAGTATAACAAAGTACTTAACGTCGTAGATGTCTGCTGAAAAGTGGATTGCAGTTATCGATCTTCAAAATCTGTAGGTAATGAAAGTTTCTCAAACGTACAGGCGAGGATCACTGCTAAACGATTGAAAATAAATTCCGCTGAATAAAACGTTGATGGAACGGTGAAGTTTTGATAGAATTGCGTATATTCAATTAAGTTTTTACGATCATAGGTATTCGTAATTTCATCTCGCAATGCAATGCATTCCTCTGGTGTATATCTCAGTAATCGTATTTGCATTATAAATATTATAGGTAGATATTCGTATTGACTAATTAAACGCGTATAGTTAAGTATAGTTAATTAGTTAATAAATAATTAAGAGTGAGAAAGGGTTATCGGGAACTTCATTAATTAACTGTTTATTCATAATAATTTGCATCTGTAAATCTGCTCTTATTTCTTCGTGAATTCGATTTTTACAAACTACGAAGTAATTTTTGGAACGAATAAAACTAGGAAATAAATAAGTATATCTATATCAACACCTCAATTTTTACGATCTCTATTTCTCATTTAGACGCCCAATTACATTTGATGATTCCGTGAATCACACCGTTTTTATTGGATACTTTCGTAATTAAATCTCTTTTATTAAATTCACTTGCGCCTTACTATCGGTGGTTTATAGGCGTCGTAAAACGACTCGAATGAGTTGTTTCCACGATATTGATTTATTGAATTTATTGGTGGAGAGTTGTACTCGTGACTTGTAATCAAAAATCAAAACCTAAATGGTTCTTTGCTTTCCTTCTCGAGCACCATTATGTATAACGAATACAAGCGCTACAGAAGTGCTTTATTATACAGGGCTTTAAATACAGCATTTATTCTAAGTGTTAAGTGTTCTTAAATCTCTTGCAACCTAGTTTGTTTTAAATATTAATAAATTGAAGAATTGATTAATGATTATAATAACAATCTTTATTTGTCTAATATGGTTCATAATTTTCTCAATTTCCCATATTTTTTTACTGCTAAACTGCTTCTAAAACATAATCCATTCATGTAGTATTATCTCCTTAAAATAATTGTAGTAACTACATAATTGAAAAGTGTGAAACCCCATAAGTAATAATATTGAAGAATAATTTAGAAATTGTTAATCGGGCCAATAAAATTTATTTCTCCTTTTCACATCGAAGCTAAAATTATAGCCCACGATTTTCTCTCTCCGATGCCGTCGTCCATAACTTAAAGCTCACGAGCTCCATTGCGTGTTACAATTACAGAATTATAAAGGTGGTCTTTTCATTGGCATTTCTAACCGAAAACCACAATCGGCCCGTACCGAACCCACTACTTAAACCGCTCAAACTGTTTCACTGGCCCGAAATGATTGCAATCCAACTAATTTCTAATAAATAGCTTTTACGAACCATCCGAATGCAGTGGCACAGACGAGGGTTAGTAACACAAAAAAATATGAAAAAAAAAATAAAATCAACTAAAAATTGAATCATAATAAAATTAATGTTAGGTAATACTTTTTTTCATTAACTAGGTACTATATAATTTTCTTTAATTATCTAGTGTTGATAAGATATTATTGCGATAATTTATTCTTCAATTTTGTTACAAAGTTTCTGATGCTTGAATTAATTCAACTAATTTATGCTGTAATTAAAGCAGTTTTTTGGGCTGCATACTAATTTCTGCGCCGTTTCTTTAAGGAAATAAAAGTAGACTACACCTATGCCGAAGAATGACAAGCACCTTTCGGACCGATTCGAGCCCTAAGGGCATCGATATTACGGCCTTAGTATAATTTTCCTACGATCCCATTTACAATTTGTTTTGCGTTTAGCGCAGTTATCTCGATGACTTTAAACGTTTTGATTATAGCAATTTCAAATAATTCGAGCTATTATTATTTCGAATTGGTTAAATTATTATTTATAAATTTATCGTTTAACGCCGAAGCGGTTTTTTATTTCGAATAGGTCGGGTTTTATTTTTTTGCGTTTTCTACTCTAGCACAAATTAGTTATACCTGTTATTCCTGTTTAATTAAAATTTCATAATTACTCTCAGTGACATATTCTATTTATTAAATCAGTGTTTTTCGCTAATGGTGCGACAGTAAAATGGGTATGATTAAACAACAATTCCGTAACATTTAACTTAGTCGTTGGTCACGCAAACCGTCAATTTGACTATAAAAACCCCGTGTTGCGATTAAACAAGAAATCACAGAACATTGTTTAGCTGCAGGGGACAATCCCTAAACAAAAGGGCGGCATTTCAGCATTTTTTATTAGAGCGCAAAAGGGGTTTATTGCGCGCCAGTAGAGGTGAAAGGTAATCAATTCCTGTAATTATTTTCGCGAGCACCTCAATAGATTACAAGCCATTACCGAACCGTTTACTATAGTACTTAAAGTACTATTTATTGCAAAAGTTATACACTCAATTAATAAATCAATTTAAATTACAGGTAATTACTAATTTACTATCGGTATAGAACAATATCAAAGTAGGTTTTAGAAGATTTTAGTCAAAAAAGAGTTCATGTTTTGGGCGTATAAAATATCCTGGAGTATTAAAAATACTGGCACATGACAAGCAGTGTCTGTAATTTTGTTTAAGAGACGTGAAAGCTTTGACAGCATTAATGCGTACCTATTAAGTAAAATGTATATTTGAATAGATGTCGAGGGACTGAATTATTTTGCTGCTTTTAATCAATAAATCGGCCAAGTCCGGTTACATTTGTGTGCAGCTGACCGTTTGCTTTTGTTTCGGCATCGGGAGCCCCGCGAAGGGGATAGGCGAGAATCAAAAAGCTCGAAATTGAATAATTTTCACATGTACTTTGACGATTTGCTAAAAGCTTTTCCTCTGCAATTCGATTCCATCGAGCACAACGTATTCTCGTTTCTTTTGCGACCTGTCAGTTTCACTGCTCTTTAAATGGTAACGTACGGATTAATCCTGAAAAAGCGCCGTAAATGGAAATTTAGGGTATTTTTGAAATTAATTTTCTGATACAAGATTAAAAAAGTATCTATATATGAAATACTGATTTATCTGGCACCCAAACTATAACCAATTTTTTTCATACATGATCAATCAACAATATTCACTATTTTTGTCTTTTATCAGAACTGATTTATCTTAACATGTTTTCCAAAGCCGCCTCTTAACATATCAAAGTAATGCAATAGTTTATTAATTGGTTTCTAAGTTGCTTTATAACTCCTTCATTATATTACACTTAATTACTTGACCTTGACATTCAACATATCTATCTGTAGTATATTTTCCGAACAAATTTAGTGATCGGTTACTTTAAATCTAAATTTGGATCATTCAGAAGACGTTATTAATTTGTAGCCCGAATAGTTAGACCAATATTTCAGATGCATCGTTTTTTCCTTGCAGCCTTAAGTTAGCTTTAATGGATTACAAACGCCGGCGATTATTCATTGATACCACTAATAGACCTCCTGGTGTTATTTATTTCCTTTTAAGAGTATTGGTTTACTAATCGGCCGCGTAAATATCAATGTGCTAATCGACATTAATAAACATATTTCAGGTTGCAATAATTTTAAAAGGAACGTTTCGTCAGTGGGGTGGCAAAATTACTCTATTTGTATAAAATTAGATATTATTCTAGCAAAAGTTTATTCTAGCTAAAATCTAATAAGTAATGCTTTATAGAAACTTACTAACTTAAAATAGCGCTTTTATTGTTATTTTGAGAGAAGTTATTTAAGTTATGTACTGTTAGTTCAGGAAATTAAAGAAACATAAAGCAGCCTTGTGTCAGAAAATGAAGTATAGACTTGTTACTAAAAATGATCCTGTTTGCTTCTTAATATCCATAAGCAACTAACACATTAGGGTTATTATTTAATAGTGGATAATGGGCGCCACTGGGAAGCTATACATATAATGTTTTCTGTGTTAATGAGGGTGATGGAAACGTAGGTCACGGATCAGCCACGGGGGGGCTCTCGCGCTTCCCCGCTGTGCTCCAAATCGCCTCTTTCTCATAGATAACCAACAACATAAATATTGGTCGTTTCCATTACCTACCGGACTGAGAGGAACGCACCGAGTTGTGTTTATTTTCCAACTCTTTCGCAATCTCTTATGACCTCCCTTAGAGCGACGTTTATTCTACGATCAATTCGTTTTGTTTCAGATATGTCGCGACTAGAAAAATCCCCGTTATTAGCAAACGGCTACAACCACCCGCCGCATTTAAGTCATATGCAGTTCATGCAGTTACCGCATCCTGCCGCTGCACATTCGGCGCTGCTGTCGCCGGCGATGCCGCACAACCTGGCCAGGCCGGACGGATCCGTCATCAAGAACCAGGGAATGCCCACCATGGAGGCCATTGCAAGGTGAGCACGAACGCTAAATACAAAATTGTAACGTTTCCTCGGCTGGAGGAGCGTAATCCTGTATGTAAAGACCGTAAATTATCGAGCCAACAAAGCAAAAGATAGGCCACACGTCATCTGCGAGGCCTTTCTCGGACCTAATCCTCGAACCCTTTCGTGTCTTAACCCCGGAGCTGGAGGATTTTCGGTTCAAAGATCTCGTCGAGGAAATCTTTGCCAACTTGAAAGTAGTTGGAGTTTATGAAATATTTAATGTTATCAAACAACGGGATTACATGCAGGAGCTCTCGGTGAAATTATAAATTAGTTTTCGGTTTGTTACTTATCTATACTATTAACTATATCTAGTCGGGATTGGTTGGAAATGTGTTCCGCTCCACACCCAGATAAGAATTAGGAGCACTTTATAGTTTATTCAGTTAACCTGTAGTCGGAGATCAAATTCCTGGATAGATTATATCTTCGGGATGCGGTAGTTTTATAGTGTGACCTATAGGTGTACACTTTCTTTCTCTTTCGTGAGGATAAATTTCATTTCGAGAAGAAAAGCAATAAACAAGCCCCGACAACCATCGGACAAGGTTTATGTTACAGAAAGAGATACAGTAATATCTTTTCTAATCCATTGTAAGTGAAAATTGGATAATTTAAGTGTAAGTTAGAGGCCAAAAGAAGTCAAGTAATCTTCTTACAGCGGCAAGAAGACGTACGACGTCGGTCTATCACCCTCTTTTTTCGCGATTAACCCCCGGATATTTCACCCCTGTCTTTTATTTTTCTGGTATTTACCTTCTTTCTGCGACGCTACCTCGGTTCGTTAAGTGAGTTTCTGCCTTGCAGCCTCCGTAATATTTTTCACGGTTATTTTTAAAAATGCATTCTCTCCATGTTTTGAATTGCAACATCCCTATCTACATATAGTACATTCAATATATTTCTGAACAATAAAAATAAGTAAGAAAAAAAATGCGAGTAGGTAGGTAATTAAGATACTAGTACAGTAATAATTCAACATAATTTGTTGTCTCGATCCTTTGTAGAAAAACTTATCAAATAATTCGCGTATAGCCTTTTGAATGAGCCCATAAAATAAAGATCGACAATCATCTGACTACTATTAAATGAGACGAAAACAAAAATAAAATCGAAACGCAGAAGTGAAACGCCGATTAATAATTCATAGCTGAAGTTCGCATTACCATAACTAGTAGTTCAATTTTAAAAATGGAGTCACCATAAAAAATGTTTCGTACACGCAAATATTCGCATGAAGGCGTCAACTTTTTTTTTTCAATTTCTTTTTCATGTTTCATGATTTTGTTTCCACCCATTCCTGTGCCAATTCGAAAACAGCTAGCCAATCTAGTTGGCTGTAACATTTTTCGTATGTAAACATTGTTGCCAAATCGGCATTTTTCTTTCAAAATATTAGATTTTTCCAATGCAAACTGGGTTACTCCAGTTTCTAATAATTTTACGAGTATCTATTTTATTTCTTAACTCTAATATGCTAGTAAGTAATTATAGTAATAGTACCTACCTTAATAATAGTAGATACCCTAGTAATAGTCAACCTCTTAAGGTTGAAATAAATTTTCATTAGCTTGAATGTATTTTCCATTGGATGTTCGACAACGGCGCTTTGAATTTTCTCTATCAAACTCCGCACAAAAAAGAACTCCCAGTTGTTTACACGGTTGTTAGAATCGTCATTATCATTTCAGCGCTCGCTGGTCGTAATTAAAATGCAAATCCGAACAGGCGAATGCGTGTACACGTCACGAAGAAGCGCCATGATTAATTCCCCAGGATACCTACAAGTACACACAGAAAGGCTCGAAACGAGTTACTTATGTATATCTTAAAGTATTGCTCCTATTTTGCGTCGATACTTGCATTTTTATTTTTGCATAGTATATGTACAACGCAAATCAATTTGCAGATTCATTACTATAGCTCTTACTTGATTAATTTTGATTGAACTAGGCAAATTTGACTACTGAAATTTGAAATAATGCGTTAAAATACCTCGCCCAATGAAAAATTAGCTCTTAATTTTTATTATTAATCATCTAATTAACTGGCGCACATAATTTGCAGCCGTTTAGGACAGGCCGTTAAATTGGATTTAATAAATAACCTCTGTTTGAAGGTTAACAGAAATAATTCACTTCTTAACCTACCATACTCGTTTAGCTGCTTCTATTTATAGTTTTAGGAGCAGAAGATTGTTATTTATCGTCGAAAATAAGTAACATTTACAGATATTTCTCACATAGTTTCGAATGTTGATAGCTCTCGTGAAGGCCTCTATGAGTGTATGCAAGGCATTCATCATGTATCGCCCTCCAGTGCAGGAGGTTGCAGAATGCGGATTGTTAATGAACTTAATGTCTATTCTTGATACACGTTCTATTATAAGCTTTAGTATTTTGATTGATTTGAAATTTATTGCAGATCTGGAATTTGGGAAAACTGTCGAGCAGCTTATGAAGACATTGTCAAACATCTAGAAAGGTATGTTAATTTCCATATAATAATTATTAAGGATTATAGAAAGAATGCACAGAAAGGTGCAGAATTGCACTTTAAAATTCATATCGTATTTTGATAAAATGTCCTATTTTATATTATTGATATAATGATCCAAACTAAGTAAATTTACTTAGTTAAAGGATTACGTAAACTATATTTTCCAATTTAAGGATGTCTTACCAATTCTTTGATTTATTAATTTTATTAATCGTTCGCCATGTGCAACCGAAATAGAATGCATTATCATGTTTGTGCAACCGGGAATTAGTTGATGCAACCAGTGTACGCAATTTGGTTATCCTAAGTTAGTCCGTTATAAGTCTATTGATTTTCGTTGAAATTTGAAACAACACTCTAAGGGCCTGTAATTCCTCAGGGGTGCAACTTGATAGAGGGGTAAATTTTGTTAATCATTGTATTTGAGTTCACCTACACGTCTCTATTTGCTTTCGGTTCTTATGCAGGACACTCTGTATATTAAACATGTTCATTCTACACTACATACATTATTCTCCCATTCATATCAAAGTGGACTGCATCCCCCCAATTTTCTTGCCAATTTAATAAATAGGTCACCAGTGGTTCGACTCAGATATCCGCACTCATTTCTCCCACATCCTGTTCATAAAATCGATTCAATTACCGTCCGAGTTACGAGTTAAAATTTACGCGGCAGAAGCGACCGAGGAGTTGCGTTGATACCGCGGCAATCGCGTCGCTGAAGGAGATTACAATTGGCGAAAAATGCATGTGCACGAACCGGCAGAATCGTTATTCGCTGTGACACCGCGATTATTCAGACCGTCAGATGGAGTTGTGCGGTGGCAGATCGTTTTCCAACTCCAACAAATCATTGCGTGGCGTCGACGTTAAGCCGGGATCTGGTGAACTGGGACCCTGCAAAGCCGGTTAAGCGTCTGACATTTGACAAATGCTGATGTACTTCTCTCTCGATGTATCGGATGTATTTGCCCCTATGGCGCGATTGGTGATCCGACTCATTTGAATAGGTCGGCTCCGCTAATATTGTCAATGCATATTTAACGCATTGTAGCATTTCGGGCGGCTAATCGAAGGATTTTTATATAAATTGGAATATATGATTTGGCGTATGCTGATGCAATACATGAAATATTATTCAGTGACGACTACTTAGGTGGGAAATGAAAATGTTATATACAAGAATTTAATCTGCTTAAGGATATAGAAGAGTGTTTATTAAGAACACCAAAATCAATACTGGTCAAGTGCCTAATATTCTTCATTTATCTGTATATAGAGTAGAAACGTGGAGAATGAGGCTCGGACAAGAACATGAGAAAGTACTTTTGAGGTGTGATCCTGGACGATATGCTGCTGAAGATTTCTACCACAAGAATAATAGAAGGAGGTAATTTGCAAAAATTATTAATTAATATAACCCGGACGTTAAAGTAACAAATCAATATTGATGTAATTTTAGATTATCGAATTATATTTTCAATTCTCGCCTGTTTGTCGTCTATTCGATTTGGTTTGAAAAAGCAGTTTGTTAGACGTCGAATCAAAGTCTATCGACTAGCGAAAGAACATTTATCAAATACACGTTATGTCATCGCATATAAGAAAAACGTTACCTATATCTACCGAAAACAGGGGTGATGTGAAGTCAAGAAAAGGTTTATATTCAATCAATCACATTTTGTATGAAATTGAAAATTTTATACGTGATAAAGCACTCCTTTTTGAATATCTTCCATTATTGGGTTTGCCGTCTTACCATTTGCCTCATTGTAAATCGAATGCTATTTTGATTCGTTTCTTTTTATCGAATTTTACACAACGAATGTATTGTTTGCCGAATGTAATTGGTTTCGCGCGAAAAGAAATTCCCCTAAAGAGCCACCATTAATTATTTTCTATTATTTTATGCGTGCGTTTAATCAATTGGGAAAACGCGTATGAGCGTCGCAAGGCGACCGACAGCGTATCGATAAACAGAAAATTTCCTGCAACTTTAATTAACAGATCTATTAATAGAGATAAAGACTACATAAGGCCGGCGTTCGAATAAAAAGCAAACAGTGAAACAGTGTATTACCGACCGAGAACAATTGAAGAATGTAATATTAAGATTAATTATCAGAGTCTTATCAGCTCGCAATGCGCCGTCCCGACCGCGTCCGCCGTCGTCCTATACAAACAATTACGAATCACGAACCACCAGTCATTGCTGGAAAGTTGAAGCTGCTTGTTTGCTGAAACCGAAGCCCCTCCATGGGCGGGGAAAATTTCTGAATGAAACGTTTGCTTCCACTGAATTTCATCATACTATTGACAAACGAAATGCCACGCAATGGATTTTTTTTTTCATTTAAAAAACATATTTGCATATATAATACTGAAGGTGTTTGCGTCATTTGAGTGTTTAGGTAATAATGTAGGTACGTTTGTTAAATTAGTGATAGTAGTTTGTATTCGATAATAAAAATGTAGAGCTTGCAATTCTATGTTTTGTTAAAATATTGCAGTTGTGCAATACGCAGAGTAACCTTTGCGTAAATCATTATAGGAATCGATTAAAGTTCATTTACCGACAGCAATTTTATTGATTTCATAGAGAGCTTCCATAAAATTACCGTCATCAGAACTTAATCTCAAACGTACAAGAAATTCTGATGAAAACATGAAATAAAACTTTTGCTTTCTCTTCTTCCTCTTTCGCCTTATTTCATTCAACTTCTCTATTAAGTAAAGATATTTTAAGATATAGATATTTTCAGATAAACATTTTTATCTGAATACAATCAAAGTAAATTGTGGAAATTTTATTAAATTTAACACTGACATCACAAGTGAAATGACGTTCATATCGTATTTACAAATCCCTTTTAGCAATAAATTAATACGAACTGCCAGTCGTCATAGATAATTTAAACAAACAATTAAAATTTCGTGTTGCTTTTTTTCTGGGAAAATTATCTTTTTACGCCACTGTCGAATGTTCATACAATAAATACAATCGGAAATCTTACGACTGGGACCGCCGGAATAAGGGTGAAATTCAAGTAAAATTAGTGTTAGCGCCTCGAATCTTATGTCGGCGTTATCATTAATTATAATACAAATCTGCAGACGTCATGCGAAATTAAGGATTTTTACCGACCGAAAACCGGAAGTCAGTTTTGAATGTCAGCGTCGCGGCGCTTCTAGGGGGAAGAAGAGAGGCAACGAAACCGTCGAGGTGGGGCAATTCATTATATTTTCTCTCCAATACATAAATCATAGCTTATCTTTCGTTAGCGATGACTTGCTAAAGGAAAATTTCAATTTGTTTGTTGTCCCTCATTAAACACCACGAAAAGGATTTAAATTCGATTCAAAGCGGGCGAGAAAAACGATTTTAAGAAAAAAATACACACATTTTTTCAACGGAAATTTTGTCATGTTGTCAAGTAAATTTATTACTTTCCTCTCGCAAATGTGTCTAATTTCACATTTAACGGTATACCTACTTCAGCTTTCTAAATACCGTAAAACCATATAATTAAACAAAATCTAGGCATATAATAAATCGATAATGTGTGTAATTACAATCATCGATTTGACAATTGAACACGATAGATTTTTTCAATGTCGTTAGCGTCATGCTTTATTATTTTCATTACATTGTTCTTTGCATGTGCCATACCCAGATAAATAAGATAAATGAGTGAACAATTAGGTTATAAATACATTTTCTTTCGGATAACTGGCATTTTATAATAGGCTGTGTACACTTCAGTTAACAATAACAAATTTTTTACCCATAGAATACTTACGTAATTAGATATTTTTTACAAATGCATTATAAACGTTATACGTTACTTAGCATTTGCTTCACCAAAGCGAAATTCTATACAATAGTAAATTTTAAATTGAGAAGTCAGTATAGTGAGATAAGGTTGTAGTTTACCTCTGTCCATTTAAGATGCATATCTTATACTAGTTTCCCAATGTGAGATAATAATATAGATTTTATAAATAAAAACAGTCAATATTTTATAATTCCTATTTTTCTACTTTCACCCCCTGCGAAGGAAAACTAAACGAATCCACAAATAATATAATGAAATTCTGAAACTAAAACCGACAAATGCGAAACCATCAACGTTGAGTTAATTAACAGAGCGGAATTAACAAAACATTGGCCGATTTAAATTCGAATTAAGGCCCCCAAAAATTAATTAATCCTCGTCACTGTACGGACTCGACCAATTAGTCTGACACGACGAACTCAGGAACTTCTTCCAGTTCCAAACATCTGCAACCTTTCTCCCTTTTATGAAAATTAATAGTTGATATTATTTGATTCGATGAAAACTGGTTCATTTTGAAATTTACTAGTCGATGTAATTAATCGATTAATCAGAATGGCGAATAAATTGTTTTGTCACAAATACTAAATTATGGTCAATTTCATGAAGCTATCTGTTTTGTTCATTAAAAGTTAAATTTTGCAGAATACTTTCAAAAATGATATGAAATTTACCATTATCTACTGATGTAATTTTAATTGATAACTGAATTGAGATTGATTAATCAGCGCTTGATTGACAATCTGATGTTTATTTCATTACAAATATATTAATAGAAAGTCAGCAATCTATATAGTTTATTTTAATTCACATATTTTTTCAGTCTACCGTTCCTATTGCGGCGCCTGAAAATAACAAATAAAATATACATTAATGCGTGTAATAAATTCGAGATTAATTAACTTTATAAAACATTTTATAAAAATCCTACACCTAAAGCTTTAACTATAATAGCATTTCCGTTTAAATTCCGAAATTATTTACTATTATTACAACATCTATCATTTAATTATAAATATGATTGTTATTATCATTATTATTTAAATGCAGGTTGTCAAACGACCTCTATATGCAATAAACAGTCATAAGGTCGTGTAATATCGAGTTTTTGTGCAATTGCAATAAGCATATAATCACTATGCATTATTAATTACACGTGTAATTGCAAATGGGGAAACAATGTTTCAATAAGAACGTAATTAAAATATGTACTTGTGCTTAAAGTTGTGATATTAATTAGATTATTAAAGCAGTTACTTAAAATTCCGAAAAATGATGCACGTGTTAAATTATATGTTTTAACAAATTAGAAGCTCCTTAACATAACAATAGAGTAGATATATTACATACTAAAATTATTGCGAAAAAAATCTAGTTTAACGAACTCCCAAATCACCCGACCTTTACAAACTTAATTACGCACCCAGCTAAACAATGAACAAGAAAGATCGTCTGAAAAAAACAAATTAAACATTTATTTTCTTAGTCGGAGTCGCGAGGGGAATAATAGGAATATTAACAAGAATTTTGTAATAATCATCTTGATAAAATAATTTAACGCCCAGTCATAATGAAAGCCGAAGTTGTTTCATTTTATTACAATCAAAAATTCAATCGTGTCGACCGCTACCGTATATATTTTAGATTTCTATCTCTATTACTCCATTTAAATTATGTCTATGACTAATCAAAATCCGCTGAAAGCCTCGTGAATCGACCCGAGAACCATTGGATGAGGATCGCAGGGTCGGTTCAAGTTCAAGAACATTCAAAAATCATTACAACATACCCAGTATAGCGTATTCATATACTATTTAACACGAATATCCATGATTCACGAGGGATAAGTTTAGTTACGAGACATGGACACAGAGTGTTTTCTATAAGAATTTATTGCGAAAAATTGAGGTTATTGTATTCTAGTTGTAATATGGACGTTTCTTGTATTTTATAGTATGTTTGGTAAAATTAATTCGATGAAAAATTTGAATAACAGTACGTGATAGAAAGAAACCGATCCTGTGCGTTCGGCATCTGGAAACGCTTCAATACGTTCACGTCTCCGCGTTCTTTTCAGTAGTTTAAACCCTTTCCTTTCTCTCTGATACAATCATTACTCCCTTCTTATGCTTGTTTCATTATTATTTAATTATTTTCATTTCTGCTCGAGACATATAACGGAGGAAAACGGGGAGGGGAACGAATTAAGATTGATATTTACAGGTAGCATTTTGCAGTTATTAATATTCTATGAATTTTCATTAGAACTTTCCTTTTGAAGTGTATTTCTGACTTACGCTGCACGAAAATAGGCGGGGTATGAACATTTCGAATAAATTCCGTATGTTTTAGTGGATTTTGCAGAAGGGAGGTATTTTTTTATTTTTAAAATTTCAATAAATTACATTACTATAATTTTTTATATCGGTATTTATAGTCAAATAGTTTTCTGTAATATTACATTACTGCATTTGTACTTTCACATTTCTTTTTCTATTGAATTCCGCGAGCGACCTCAAATTTTATAAATGGCGAATGTTTTCTGCAGATAACG